GAGAGGCTAGCTAGCTGGGGCTCTATACAGTGCAGAAGTTACTGTGTTATTTCCAGACCCAAACTGACCCTGACCAGCAGGAGCAGGGAGAGACTTTTCTTATCTTTGACCTGTACCATTGTTCATGCCTCTTTCTAAGACAAACCACAGCTGTCTTCTCACCAGCTGTTCTCTGCGATAACCGTTACCACTTTAAGTTCTTCTTAGCCTTGAAGAAGGTCAAAGTTTTTCTGGCATCCCATGAAAAAAGGGAGATAAACGATGATGAATTAAACCAGCTAGTCAAATAATACGATAAAGATTTTTTCACAAAGAATGAAAACAATATATGTAGCAAAGATTAATTATTTTTTTTCCTAGACATAAAAAGTTCAGAGACTCTTCTCAGCCTGTCAGACTACAATTTAAAGGCATCTCTAAAAAAAAAAAACTCTCTCATCTCAGCAAAATGGGCAAGTGTTTTAGTGCTGCCTGTCCTGTTCTTCTTGACATATCATGTGTTTGGCAATTTTTCTCATTTCCCAATGTTTGAGTAGAGCGAATTGATTGTCTTTATAGGACTTGCAGAGTGTGATGCAACATGTTTCTGCACAACCAGAAGACTGCTGATTTGTTCTTTGCCCAATACTTTTGAATTATCCTATTAGCCATTCATTCTTTCCGGTTACACGTTTGTTGTTTTTTGCTTTGGTATCTCACAGAGGAAAACAATTCATTACCATATAAATGGAGACAGCTTCTCTTTTCAAGTGAATTGTCAATAACATCTTCATAGGACATGCTATCAAATTTCCCAAACTTTATGCAGCAAATTCAATTGACACTGGGTAGCATGACACAAAGCGTGATTGCTGTAGGTACTCTAAAACTTTTAGCTAGGAAGGAAGGCCTTTCTGTCAGCCTGGGGTGTTCAATGGGATACTGAGGAAAGTTTGGTTGAAAAGACTTGAAAAAAGCCTCAATCTTGCATTTTGCCATAAGCATTTCTTGAGAGTATCTTTTTTTTTTTTTTAAAGTCAAGAACCAATTTTCCAGTATTTATTTCACATCAGTGACACCAAATATGTAACAGTCCCTGTAAAAGTAATGTTTGGTTGGTTTGTTGTTTGACTTTCAGTTTTACTCTTTCAGATAAGAGAGAAAAAGCCCTGTATTGACTAGTTATAGCTAGACAGTTAAAAGTGTGTTATTATCAGTTACTCATCAACAGCATCCCTAGTACTTTGTCTTGGGATCCTTACCACTCTTGGACTTTGACAGCAGTAAGTAGAGAGTAGGCGTCTGAGTGCCAAAACATATTGAAACATAGTACATTATGCTGGGTCCAGAGCAGGTGGGACTAAAAATGCTTGTACGTAGGATTTTCACTGGGAACATTGCTGATGTCAACAGAAGGCATGCCCATCTCTCCAACGCTAACAGCACAGTTAAGCAAGATTGTGTTGACAGGAGTTGCCCAGTTCATAGACTGGAGGGCAGAGCACACCTTGTGACACTAGGGGAATACATTGTTCTGGAGGCTGAGCCAAAGGGAGAAACAGGAAAAGGGATTTTTTGGTTTTGTTTGTGGTGGGTTTTTTTCTGTAAGAGGTTTGCTTTCAGCAGAAAAGTTATAGTAGCACATTCAGTCCTCATACATGCATACAAACAGATGTAGCTTCACTGAGTTTGGTATTTTTAATGCTCTTACATTAGGAGCCAATTAACCAAATTAGGACTAGGCATGAAATACCAAAGGAAAATCAGCACAGCCTAATCTGCAAGAGAGGAAATCTCTGATCCTTTCACATCTCTACCACCAGCAAATGGCTGAAATGGAAAGAACTGAATAATCTGAACTAATGCGTAGTATGAGTGATGCCCCTAAAGTTCCAAAAGATGCTATGGTAAACAGTTTTTATGGGTTACTGCTGCATGACTCGGCACAGCTTCAAGTCCTGCTTGAATTCAGTGAAACCTGGGGTGTGACACTTTTGTGCAGAACAGCTCCTCTTTGCACTTTATGCTTGCAATGGTCACTGAATTTCATGTCTTTTATTATAGGTTCACAGAATCATAAAAGGGTTCTTAAGAGGTCAACTAGTCCATCCCCTGCTCCGCAGTAGTTTATTTCCTCACAGCAACTGGAGATGAGAGAAATCTGTGTTTAATAACTTTTATTAATCATTTTGTTGGTGTTCATCTCTGCAGACATATAAGAAGTTACAGTCTGTATCCGTGCCACAAGTGTCTTCTGTACAAATGACAAACTGTCCTTTCATTCATAGCTTCACTGACGCTTCCTCAGAGTTAAAACATAATATTGGGAACAGGCCTCTTCCAATGTAATCACTTTTTTTTTTTCTTTTAGTAGAAGAGAGCATATCTTTCCTTCTTTTTCTTCATGGTCTGTGTCATTGACCACAGATTAGGAAAAGACATCTTTGAAACTTTTGACCTTCAACAGATCGTTTCAGAAAGAGGCAGGTGTTTACTTGATACAGGCAGGTGTTCCTTAGCAGAACCAAATGCAGTTTTCCAGTTTTCATCTTTAAACACAATATAACAAGAAGTCATTTCATGACTGTCATGTCATTTGAGAAGGTAGGAACAAATTCTCCAAACTTTAAAAGGATTAATATAAAAGGAATAAATTTAGCTTTGGCACGGCTGCCTGGGTATGAGTAGAGCTGAGCCTCTTTGAATTTGCAATGTGTATGTTTAAGCCTTATGCGTTGTGCTTTGCTCTTTCCTATCATAATCCTCAAGAACTTCACTCCTGGAGGATGTAGAAGGGAAATTCAGCCATTTAAAGTCATGTGGATCACTAGATTTCATACTGATGTAACTCACTCTGAGCCAGGTTGTGAGTATTGCTGAGTTGCTGATGCTGAGTAGAACTGCTTCATGTGAAGTCCAGGGAATTTGTTCACATTGAATAGTTATTATTCAGGTTGCATAATGCTTGCAAAATCTGGCTCTCTATTCATGCATTCTGCTAAATGTAGCAGATGAGGAGGTATAAAATGTTTGCAGGATGGCTGAGATAGTAAAATAGGATCATAAATCGGACATTTGCATTGTTTCTGGCAAAGCCTGTCAGAACAATTTCTTCTACGTTTATGAAACCTGCCCACACCTCTTCATCACACAGATTTCTGTCTTCCTTTTCTCACTGACTACCTTCTGCAAGCTGTCAGGGAGAACTTTGCTTTGGATTGCTGCAAACTAGTTTATTTAGAATACAATTAGCTGGCTCTATCTGTCCCCATCAGGCACCTTTTCTTTTAATTGAACTTTTTGCTGAAGTAATAGACCTCTCTATTTGTGGCTCAGATACATTGCCAGCTCTTGCATTCCTCTGCTAAAAGACATAGTAAGGACAAGAGTGACTGTCCTGGGATATGAAAGAATGGCAGTGTCCTTCCTCATTCCATTTCTGCCTCCTGACATAACGATGTCAGCTCACATCATGCATATACTTTTATGATGTAGATACCTGTGCACTTGGAAATAGGTTCAAAATCATCGCCTACTGGCTGAGGCAGGAAGCAGTGAGGGATTTGGGTGGACTTGCTTCCACCCACAGGAGGTCAGCACAGATCTTCCTAGGAAGCAGCATTCTGGGCCTATCTGGATAATACTGGATATGACATTCAGTGTTGCTAGGAAGGTGTGTTGCTCTCTGTTGTACCTGAGGTCATCTCAAAAATGTTTACAGCACGTTATTACTGGTTCCTTCACTTGAGTTATGCAAGGAGTAGAAGTGAATTTTGGAAGGCAAACATATTCAAAAGAGAAAATATAATTACTGGTGTTGAGCTTCAAGTAGCAGCTAATTTAAAAAAAAAAAAAAATCAAATTCTTTCCTAGTCCATGAGATCTAGTCAACTCATTTTGAAGATTCATGGGAAAGTAAGTTCTCTCCCCTGAAGAGTTAGGTTGAGAATCAAGTTGTAGCAGTTAGAGAGATCGCTAGCTCTGCAAACACTGCTGGAGTCAAAAAGTAATCTCCACCTGATTTCCAGATAGTCAGAAGTTCACCCATAGACTTTAATGTCCGAAAGGACCCTGACAACAGTGCTGTCTGACAGGCTGAATCACGCAGGTCGTGGAAAGTATGGATAATTTCTATCATGAAGGGCCAGACTGATAGTGGGGAGAGATAGGCAAACACTGAGGTCTGGAAATCTGGCTAGAAACTAGTGAGCTAGGAGGCAGGGTTGTGTCTTGTCCGGCTACTTTTCTGAATTTACCAAAACAATACTGAGTTTTAAAATGTTTTTGTATTTGAAATGTCACGGTGAAAACAAAGCAACAAAGGATTACATGGCTTTACTTTTGTTACATTAAGAACTGGAATATAGCTTTGCAAGTGATTTGTGTGGAAACTGCTTTGGCAGAGAATTGATAAAATAATCTAGATAAAACAGTGAAAAGCAGCTGCAGAAATTCCCCCCCACCACCTTCTT